ATATTTTTATATAAATATTTTATATTAATATTTTTATATAAAGTTTTATTTAAAAAAGATTTAAATTATTATAATTAAAAACTTTTTTTATATATTTTATATAAAAATATAATAAAATATTATATATATATATATTAAATTACTTACTTTATAAAATAATAAATTTAATATTTAAATTTAATTTTTAAATAAAACTAAATAATGTAATAATTAAATAATAAAATAATTAAATAATTAAATAATTACATAATTAAATAATTAAATAATTAAATAATTACATAATTAAATAATTAAATAATTAAATAATTAAATAATTAAATAATTAAATAATTAAATAATTAAATAATTAAATAATTAAATAATTAAATAATTAAATAATTAAATAATTAAATAATTAAATAATTAAATAATTAAATAATTAAAATAATTAAATAATTAAATAATTAAATAATTAAATAATTAAATAATTAAATAATTAAATAATTAAATAATTAAATAATTAAATAATTAAATAATTAAATAATTAAATAATTAAATAATTAAATAATTAAATAATTAAATAATTAAATAATTAAATAATTAAATAATTAAATAATTAAATAATTAAATAATTAAATAATTAAATAATTAAATAATTAAATAATTAAATAATTAAATAATTAAATAATTAAATAATTAATAATTAAATAATTAAATAATTAAATAATTAAATAATTAAATAATTTTTTAAAAACTTTTAATTAATAAAAGATTTAATATTTAATTTTCTTTTTTATACTTTTATATATATATAAAACTTTATAATTAAGTAAATATATTTTTATATTAAAAAAATAATATAATTATAATTAATATTTAATATTATTAATTTAGCTTTTATATAATTAATAATAAATAAATAAAATATATAATTAATTTAACTATAATATAAAGGTTAAGTTATAGCAAAGTTATAACCTTTCCTTATTTAATTATAAGTTAATTATAATAACTTATATATAAAGTATATAATTATTAATTAATAATTAATTAATATTAATTAATAATTATTATTAATAAAATTAATTTAAACTTTATATCTTTAAATTTATATATTACTTATAATATATTTATTATATAAGCATATTATATATAATATTTATATATATTATTTTTATATTAATAATCTTTTATATATATATATATATATACTTTAAAATTATGCTTTTCCTTTAAATTATTATTTAATTAATTAAATTACTTAATTAATATAAATATTTTATTTTTTAAGGAGTTATAAAGAGCTAAATACCTTATAACTATTACTTTAAAAGTTTAAATATAAGTATTTAAGTATAAGTATTTAAATATAAGTATATTTAAATGCTTTAAATGCTTAAATTGCTTAAATTATTTAATTATTAATACTTTAAAGCTTTAAAATATTTAAATATTATTTTTTAATTAATTAATTATTACTTTAATAACTTTTTTCTTTTTATTATTAAGTTAATTAAAGTACTTAAGGGATAAATTAAGTTTAAGTTAATAATAATTATTATTATTATATTTCTTAATAAGAAAAAGGTTATTATTATTATAAAAAAAGTTATTATTATAAGGCTTATATTAAGGATATTATTAATTAATAAAAAGGTTATAATTAATAAAGATAAAGAAGTATTAGCTTTTTAATAATTAGCTTTATAATAATTAGCTTTATAATAATTAGCTTTATTTTAATTAATTTAAGCTTTTTTTCCTTAAAAAGCTTTTATTAATATTTATATACTTTTAATTATAAGTAAAAGGTTATTATTATAAATTCTTTTTAAGGCTATTAAAGTAATTTTTAATTATTTAATTAAGCTAAAATAATTAATGCTTTTATTATTAATATATAATTATATTTTATATATACCTTATAATAATAAAATATTTATTTAAGCTTATAAAAGAACTTTTAATTAATCTTTTAAAAGTATTTCTTTATTTATTTATAAAACTTATATTAAAATTTATTAAAAAGATTTTTATTATAATTTAAATAATTTTTAAAGCTTTTAATCATATTAATAACTTTTTCTTTATTAATAAAAAAGGTTATTATTAATATAAAGGTTATTATTATTAAGTAAATTTTATAATAATTAATTATAAAATAAAAGGAAAGAAAAGAATATTTTTATATTATATTTATAAATTAATAACTAGCTTTTAAATTATTTACTTATAAGTAATAATGCTTAAATATTATTATTATTTAATAAATTAACTTTTATTAATTTTAAGGTAATTTATACTTAAAATCTTATTAAAAGGTATTAATAAATAAAGCATTAAAAAAAAGTTATACTTATTAATTAAATATAAATTATTATTAAAAAGTAAATATTTTAAAGGTTTAATTAAGTTATTTATATAATTAAATTTATAATAAATTTTAATTATTTTTTTTAATAATTTTAAGCTAATTAAGTAAATAAAATAATTATATTAATTACTTACTTTTATTAATACT